GTCAGTGAGAATATGGAGAAATTTGAACCCTCCTACACTACTGATGGGAATGTAGAATAGTGCAACCATTTCAGGAAACAGTTTGGCAGTTCTTCAAAAAGTTAAACATAGAGTCACCGTATGATCCAGCAATTCCACTCCTAGATATACACAAGAGAATTAAAAACTTTTGCCCCCACAAAAATTTGTACGCTAATGTTCATAATAGCCCAAAAGTGGAAACAATCCAAATGTCTGTCAATAGATGAATGGATAAAAAATGTGGTGTACCTATACAATGGAAATTACTCAATTATAAAAAAGAATAAAGTACTGATATGTAATACAACATGGATAAACCTTGAGAATGTTATGCTAAGTGAAAGAAGCCAGTCACAAAAGACCACATCTTATATGATTCCATTTACGTGAAAAGTCTAGAATAGGCAAATTTATAGAGACAGAAAGTGGTGCTGCAAGGAGCTGGAGGAGAAGAGGAATGGGGTATAAGGTTTATTTTCTGGAGTGATGAAAATGTTCTAGAATTAGATAGAAGTGGTGGTTGCACAACTTTGTGAATATACTAAAACCCACTGAATTGTACACTTTAAAAGGATGAATTTTAGGGGCTAGCCCAGTGGCATAGTCGTTAAGTGCATGGACTCTGCTTTAGCAGCCCAGGGTTCACAGGCTCCGATCACGGGCCTGGACCTATACATTGCTCATCCAGCCATGCTGTGGAGGCATCGCACATACTAAATGGAGGAAGATTGGCACAGATGTTAGCTCAGAGACAATCTTCCTCAAGCAAAAAGAGGAAGATGGGCAATGGATGTCAGCTCAGGGCCAATCTTCCTCACCAAAAATAAAATAAAATAAAAGGATGAATTTTTATAGTTTATAAGTTATATCTTAAAAAAAAAATATGTGTGGGAAGATGGGCAGTTAATGTCTGCCTGTAACTGTAATAGAAAGACCCCAATTCAGTCTTCTGAGTCTGTGGGTAGTTCTTCTTCTTCTTTTTTTTCTTTCTGCTTTTTCTCCTCAAATCCCCCCAGTACATAGTTGAACATTTTAGTTATGAGTCCCTCTAGTTGTGGCACGTGGGACGCCACCTCAGCGTGGCCTGAGGAGTGGTGCTACATCTGCACCCAGGATCCAAATCAGCGAAACCCTGGGCCGCCACAGAGGGGCGCGCGAACCTAAGTACTTGGCCCTGGGGCCAGCCCCTGTTGGTAGTTCTTCCATGCCAAATGGCAGACTTAGGGTATACGTGATTCAGCAGTTCTTCCCTATATCATTTTATCCCATACCACTGGTCAGCTCGACAGCACATCCACTGCTGGAATAATGGACAAACAGCACTCTTTTATTGGGTGTTTATTTTACGTCAGGTACTTTACACATGTTATCTCTATTCCTTTACAACAATCCAGATAAGGACACAGGATCAAAGAAGTTAAGCACTTGCCCAAACTCACATAGCCGGTAAGTGGTAGAGCCAGGGTTCAAACTCAGCTTTTCTCATTATGACACACTGCCTCTCCATATCGCCTATGTATTCCTTAGCGTTTATTGAACATTCACAATGTACCAGGCATTACTCTAAATTCTTCACACAGATTATCTCATTTAGTCCTCACAAGAATTCTCTGAGATAGGTACCATCAATAACTCTGTTTTACAAGTGGGGAAACCAAGGTACAGAGAGGAAAGCTATTCTACCCCAGGTCTCAGAGCTAGAAAGTAGCAAAGGCAGGATTCAAACAAAGACAGCTCAACTTCAGAACCTGTACCCTTAAGCACAGCATTATAGAATTCTCACTGTTACTCATTTCAATTCCATCTCCAACGACTTTCTAGTAGAATCTTTACAAAGCTCACATATTTTTTGTGTGTGTGAGGAAGATTTACCCTGAACTAACATCTGTGGTCAATCTTCCTCTTTTTACTTGAGGAAGATTGTCGCTGAGCTAACATCTGTGTCAATCTTCCTCTGTTTTGTATGTGGGACGCCACCATAGCATAGCTTGATGAGTGGTGTGTAGGTCCACACCTGGGATCCAAACCCGTGAACCCCAGGCTGCTGAAGTGGAGCACGTAAACTTAACCACTATGCCACTGGGCCGGCCCAAAGCTCACATATTTTTAATCTTTGCATGTCTGGAAGGATACATGTCAAACTGTACTCATTTATTTTTGTGATAAAAAGCACATGTATTTTTTAAAAGATGAACAAATTCTTAATTTAAAAAAAGTAAAAATCCTGCGGGGCTGGCCCCGTGGCAGAGTGGTTAAGTTCGCGCGCTCCGCTGCGGCGGCCCAGGGTTTGGATCCTGGGCGCCGGACATGGCACCGCCCGTCAGGCCACGTTGAGGCGGCGTCCCATATGCCACAACTAGAAGGACCTGCAACTAAGATATACAACTATGTACCGGGGGGATTTGGGGAGATAAAGCAGGAAAAAAAAAAAAAAAAGATTGGCCACAGTTATTAGCTCAGGTACCAATCTTTAAAAAAAAAAATCCTGAGCCAGCCCTGATGGCCTAGTAGTTAAAGTTCAGCACACTCCACTTTGGCAGTCCAGGTTTAGTTCCCGGGCACAGAACCACACCACTCCTCTGTCAGTAGCCATGCTGTGGTGGCAGCTCACATAGAAGAACTAGAAGGACTTACAACTAGGTTATACAACCATCAGCTGGAGCTTTGGGGAGGAAAAAGAAAGAGGAAGCTTGGCAACAGATGTTAACTGAGGGTGACTCTCAGAAAAAAAAGCTAATGCACACTTTATTAAAAAAAATAGCATTTGGGAAAGGAAAAAGGTAGAAATCTTGCCTGGAATTATTGCGTTATTGTGGCAGCTTCCAGGGGTCTTCAATTTGGACTACTGAAGCTCAGGAAAGACCAATTGATGCTGAGTCTTTGGAAATATGATATTAGCTGAATTAAACTGAGAAGAAAAGCACCCCTGCAAGCGCACTTTGTGAGGATTTCCTTAGAGGCAGTAGTCACAGTGGTTAAAAGCAGAGACTTGGGACTTAGACTGGCTTGCGTCTGACTCCCATTTTCAGCACTTACTAGCTGAGTGACTTTTGGCAAATTAATTTAACTCTCCTAAGCCTCAATTACCTAATCTGTAAATCGGCAGTAACATCTATCTCATAAGGTTGTGAAGTTAGATAATATGTTAATAAATAAAACGATATAATCTAAGTGCTTCTACATGGTCTAGTGGTTAAGATTCAGCACTCTCACTGCCACAGTCAGGGTTCCCTGACCAGGAACCACACCACCTGTCAGTTGTCACGCTGTGGCGGCTGCATGTTGCTAAAAGCTGTGATGCTGAAAGCTATGCCAATGGTATTTCAAATACCAGCAGGGTCACCTATGGTGGACAGGTTTCAGCAGAGCTTCCAGACAGATAGATTAAGAAGAAGGACCTGGCTACCCACTTCTGAAAAAATTGGTCATGAAAACCCTATGAATAGCAGCCAAGCATTGTCTGATATAGTGCTGGAAGGTGAGAGGATGGTGCAAAATGACTCAGCAGTTCCCCTCCGCTATACACAGGGTCACTAGGAGTCAGAATCAATTCCACAGCACTAACAATACGTATCCATTATTGTGAGCAATAACGGATGACAAAATTGTTTTTTAATGTTTTGCAGTTCCATTTTTAACCAGAGTGTCTCAGAAGAGGTGTCTCTCATGTTCTTTTTTTAAAATTTTTTTTAAGATTTTATTTTTTTCCTTTTTCTCCCCAAAGCCCCCCGGTACATAGTTGTATATTCTTACTTGTGGATCCTTCTAGTTGTGGCATGTGGGATGCCACCTCAGCATGGCTTGATGAGCAATGCCATGTTGGTGCCCAGGATCCAAAACGGCGAAACCCTGGGCCGCTGAAGCAGAGTTCATGAACTTAACCACTCAGCCACGGGCCAGCCCCTCTCATTTTCTTTTTAAAGTCACTTTCCCACTTTCCTCTGACAGATTTTCAGGGTCAAATTTCCAATATTCTTTTCTTTGTTTATCTCTCTCTGACTCTCAAAATTAACTGTGTCTATAGTTTTGAAATATTTGCCCCTTACATCTTCATTCACTCATTCCTTCATTCATCCAGCCGATGAGCATTTTTTAGGAACATTTTATTATTATTATTATTTTTTTTTTTTGAGGAAGATTAGCCCTGAGCTAACTGTTGCCAATCCTCCTCCTTTTCGCTAAGGAAGACTGGCCCTGAGCTAACATCTGTGCCCATCTTCCTCTACTTTATATGTGGGACGCCTACCACAGCATGGCTTGACAAGCGGTGCCATGTCCGCATCCCAGATCTGAACTGGTGAACCCGGCCGCCAAAGGGGAACGTGCTCACTTAACCGCTTTGCCACCCAACCGGCTCCTACGAGCATTTTTAAAGCGCCTAAATGCAATGCACCAACGCTATGAAGAGCCTAACAATTAATTAGACACAGACTTTGCCCTAAAGCAGCTCAATCTTCTTTAGCAAATAAAAAGACAGGATACTGGGTTAAATTGGAGTCTCAGATAAATAACGAATGATTTGTTAGCGTCAGTGTGTCCCATGCAACGTGACACTGAGGACGGAAAGGACTATAATGCAATATAAATGCTATAAAAGGACGTACAAAGTGTTGTGGGAATATTTCTTGGAGATTTTGCCTAAATTCTGACTAGACTGACAGGAGGAATTGCATGCCCAATGGTCCTTGTCCTGGGGGGGTCGGGGCGGGGATGCTCATGGTATTTCCAGATTGGAGGGCTGACTCTACGAACCGAAATTCATCAGCCCTCTTTTTCACTCGTGACCGCTAGATGTCGCCACAGACGCATTTGTTGAAACCATAGACAAACAGGCGATTTGATCGCCCAGAGAGGCTTTATCCGACTCCCTCTTGATCCATCTTGGATGCTTCGCTGGAGGAGACGTAACGCGCAAGCGAATGGAGAAGGTCTCACGAGAGTGAGAGCAAGTCTCGCGATTTTTTTTTTTTTTTTTTTTTGCCTAGCGACTGACAACAGGCCGGTTGCTCCAAGTAGAAACTGTGAAGTGGCCTACCCTGAGATTGGAGTGAGACTCCAGCCTTAGGCTGGGGTTCTTTCCATACAGAGGAGACGGATTCAGAGGGGCTACAGGTAATTCGTGCTCACCCCAGCAGAAAGAGAACTCCCTTTCTCCCTCCCAAGAGGAATTTAAAAGGCCTGCCCTTTCCTCTTCTGCGACCCCCCGACCTCTTCCCATCTTTATGACAGCTTTTCTTTCTCCCTCTCTTTCACACCACCACTAACCATACTGCTTCCTTTACTCCCCATGAAACTTAAGTGGGATTCGACCTGCAAGACGAGGGGTGTAGATGGGGATGATGCTTTGGGGATTATTGGATGGGACGGAGAGACTAGAGTTTACCCTCTCTTGGTCCCGCCCTGTCCCCCACCACGAGGTAACCCTAAAGACAACTATTTCTAGAGCCTCTGCAGCCTCCCCCGAGAAACCCCGACAACCTTGGGAAAACTGATCCAAACTGAGAAGAAACCCGCCATCTACAGAGAAATCCTGTTCTGCCCTTGCCCGGGGTCTTGTGTATCTCACAGCTTTAAGGAGCTGCTGCAGAAGTTGGTTTTTGTGGATTCCCTCCTTCCTCAGCCAGCCTGCCAGCAGCTCCTAAATAAGGGCTGCAACAGAATGACTTAACTGCTTGACCTGGGGCCAAGAAGCCTTAAGGAAAGTTTGAATGGGGGGTGAAGGTTCATGAGAAACTAGGGTCTAGAGTAAAGAATAGGGACCAATGCTGACTTGGAATGGCACTCCCCACAGAGTGCTTAATATCCCCTGATGTGAACTATGTAATCATGTCTCCTTTTGCTTAGACCAAGATTGTTGAAAACCAGACATATGATGAGCGTCTAGAGATTAACGACTCTGAGGAGGCTGCAAGTATTTATACTCCAACCTCAAGACACGAAGGTAAGAGAGGAACAAATGAAGAGGAAAGAAGAGAAATGGTTCTCACAGCAAAGAGCAGGATGGATTCCGGATTGTCTCCAAGGAGTTCCTCTTTTATAATAGCAAATGTTGGCTTTCAGAGTCCAGTTACTTCACTTGCCATTGTTTCTGGTTTCTAACTAGTTAAGCGGGGAGAAAACACAGCCACTCAGATTACAGGATCTTCCTCCATCCTGTGCAGTGTTCCCTATCACCATTTACTTCACAATGCTGCTCTGTTCACAACCTGCCAGGGGTTCATGTTGGGTTTTTTTTTAAAGATTTTATTTATTTCCTTTTTCTCCCCAAAGCCCCCCGGTACATAGTTGTATATTCTTTGTTGTGGCTCCTTCTTGTTGTGGCATGTGGGACGCCGCCTCAGCGTGGTTTGATGAGCAGTGCCATGTCTGCGCCCAGGATTCGAACCAACGAAACACTGGGCCACCTGCAGCGGAGCGCACGAACTTAACCACTCGGCCACGGGGCCAGCCCCATCATGGTTTTTTTTAACTTATCAAACCTGTTTTGTTCAGTTTTGAAGATGCTTCAGTAACCTGCCCTTAACCTGCAATCCCACTCAAAATCTTAACGCGGTATTTTAGGAGGACTTGACACCATCATTTATTCAACCAACATTTTTTTTTTTTAAAGATTTTATTTCTTTTCCTTTTTCTCCCCAAAGCCCCCCAGTACCTAGTTGTATATTCTTCGTTGTGGGTCCTTCTAGTTGTGGCATGTGGGACGCCGCCTCAGCGTGGTTTGATGAGTGGTGCCATGTCCACGCCCAGGATTCGAACCCATGAAACACTGGGCCGCCTGCAGCGGAGCGCGCGAACTTAACCACTCGGCCATGGGGCCAGCCCATCAACCAACATTTTTTGAGTGCCTACTATGTGTCAGCCTTATGCTTAACACTAGGTATACAATTTTAAAAGAGGCATTGACCCTGCCCTGCCATCCTGATGCTTGTAATTGTGGGAGACAGATGACAAATGAGTAAATAAACAGCATTACAAATGTGGTAAGTGCATTGAGGGAGGCACACAGTTTGACGTTATGGAGAATAATGGTGAGGAGTGAGATGTGCTTTTGATAGAGCGGTCAGGGAAGACCTAAGGAGATGACGTTTGAGACTGAAAGATGTGAAGGATCCAGTCATTGAGGAGAAGCAGGCCAGAAAGAGGGGGCAGGCCCTGAGGCCAGGGAGAACTTGGGTTGGTAGGAGGATTTGCAAGAGAGCAGGATGTGGTAGGGGGAGTGGTATCAGAGGGAGGCAGGAAGCATAACAAGCATAGCTTTAGAGGCCGGATGCTGTTTGTGCGGAATGGATTGAAGGGTGCAAAGGTGAAAGTAGGGAACCAGCTGAAAGGACTGTTGCAGTGGCTGAGTATGGCTTGGATGTGATGAGGAAGTTGAGAATAGAAGAGGCAAATACAAGACATGTTGTTGTTGTAGAATCACTAAGACTTGCTGCCGGATTGGATTTGGCTCTTGAGTTAGGAATCAAGGATGACATCCAGGGTTGTTTGTTTATTGTGGTAAACATACCTAACATAAAATTTACCATTTTAGCCACTTTTAAGTATACAATTCATTGGCATTAAGTACATTCATAATGTTGTGTAACTATCTGCTGTTTCCAAAACTTTTTCATCATCCTGAACGGAATCTATACCCGTTAAACAATAACTCCCCTTCCTCCTCTTTCCCCCCAGCCCCTGGTAAACTCTATTCTACTTTGTCTGTATGAATTTGCCTATTCTAGGTATTGCATAAGTGGAATCATACAATCCTACATTCATACAATCATACAAATCATACATTTGTCATTTCATGTCTGGCTTATTTCACTTAGCATAATGTTTTCAGGGTTAATCCGTGCTGTAGCACGTTAGGATTTCCTCCCTTTTTAGGGCTGAATAATATTCCATGTATGTATAACCACATTTTGTTTATCCATTAGTCTTTTGATGGACAGTTGGGTTGTTTTCACCTTTTGGCTGTTTTGAAAGTGCTGCTATGAACATTGGTGTATGGTTCATAGTACCTGTTTGAGTCCCTGCTTTCAGTCTTTTGATTGTATGTAAATATACCCAGGCACCCAGCATATTGACTTGAACATGTTTATAATCTTGCCAGCTGTGGACATTGTAACTTATTTTCAGTTTGGGCAATTTAGTAGGCTGAAAAATGGTATTTAATTCATATTTATTTGATTTGGAAATCATTGAACATGTTTCCATGCCAGTTAATATCTTACATCTGGTTATACTTTTTTTTTTTTTGAGGAAGATTAGCCCTGAGCTAACTGTTGCCAATCCTCCTCTTTTCACTGAGGAAGACTGGCTCTGAGCTAATATCCATGCCCATCTTCCTCTACTTTCTGTGTGGGACGTCTACCACAGCATGGCATGCCAAGTGGTGCCATGTCCATACCCGGGATCTGAACCGGCAAACCCTGGGCCGCCAAAGCAGAACGTGCGCACTTAACCGCTGTGCCACTGGGCCAGCCCTGATTATACTTTTAATTGTTCAGAATATCTTTATTGCTCCCATCTCATAGACACTGATTCTGATTTATATCTGTGACTATTATTTTCTGGGAGCTTGGTCAGTTCCTTCCACATTGGTTTTTTCATTTCATCCTTACAACAGTCCTGAGTGAGAAATATTAATGACCCCATTTAGAGGTGGGAATACTGAAACTCAGAGACCTTAAGTCATTTTGTCCACGTGATGGAGTTGTCCTTCAAACCCAGTCTTCTGACTATACCTCCAGTAGTCTTTTTGCTTTTCTGATTACTAACCTCATTTTACCAACGTGTAAACTAAGGGCAGATTTTATATTATTTATGCAATGGCAGATAATCAATTAGTATAATATCTAACCCAATGCCTTAAGCACAGGAATGCTTAGGAACTATTTCTTGAATTGAAGTGATAGAGCCATGGCTAGAATTCAGTCTCCTGTCCTTTAGCTAGATGTTCTTATAAACTCTGTTCCGTAAAATGGTTAGAGCATAAATATTATAAACTAAAAATATTTGTCTTTACGGGCCAGCCTGGTGGCACAGTGGTTGTGTGCATGTTCCGCTTCGGCGGCCCGGGGTTCGCCGGTTTGGATCCCAGGTGCAGACATGGCACTGATCATCAAGCCATGCTGTGGTAGGCGTCCCACAGATAAAGTGGAGGAAGGTGGGCACGGATGTTGACTCACGGCTAGTCTTCCTCAGCGAAAAGAGGAGGATTGGCAGCAGTTAGCTCAGGGCTAATCTTCCTCAAAAAAACAATTTGTCTTTAAAAATCATTTAAATAATGAATCTAAAGGGAAAACTTTTCTTCTAAGGACTTTCTCATTCTGCCCATATCCCTAACAAGACTATGGCTGATAACAGCAGTGATGAGTATGAAGAGGAAAATAACAAGGTACAGTATAACTCACGGCTTCTTGGGGCATTTCTGCTTTGAGTTTTTGGCAGTTAGTTTGACATGAGGCCAGTCAGTGGTAAACATTTCTTGAATACTTACCTCCAGGGGTTGGGTACCTCTGAGCTCATGGAGGAAAATCAGGAGCAAAGAGCCTTAAGATTTTGACTCTCCTTCAGGAATAAAGCCTACTATTACAGCTGACTTTTTGGTAAGAAATTTAATATAATGTAGGCCAGTGCTTCACAAATTTTACTCATCATAAGAATCAGGTGGGGAACTTCTTTTTAAAAATGCAGATTCCCACTCTCCACCCAGAACTACTGAATCAGAATCTTAAAGGTCAAAGCCTGAGAATTTATATTTTTAGCACTCCCAGTAATTCTTACGATAAAGTAAGTTTGGAATTATTGGTTGAGGCATTTGTTCGTTACCAACACTTGTGATACTGCCAATATTTTGTGAAAGAGACTTTAACTTTGAAATCTTAAGACCCAGAGATCATTTTGTTGTTATTCCATGAACCTTGAGAATCACTCTGTTTCTGAAAGAAAGATGGAAAGATGCCTACAGCTCCAGCCAGATAGGACCTCGAAGTTGCACATGTTCGCTGCTTAACCACCATTGTGTTCAGCCTTAGCGCATGGTCCAGTGGTTACATTTTAATTGTCGTTCAAGAACAGGCGCTTTGAAAACTCAGGTGAAGAAGAATATTTGAAGTAATGCAGAAAGCTGTAGTGATATAGGCTGATTTCATAAAAAGCCTAACAGGTAATGTTTTAAAGTAGCCCCACTTTGTGACTAGTGTGCTGTTTTAACACCTTACCCACAAAGTAATTGTTTAGGCATTTGTCTGTGGTATATAAGGTCTTCTGCCTTTAGATCAGGAATTTTGCAAAGCACAACTTTGAGGGAGGAGACAAAAGAAAAGTGAACAGTTTTCTTAAATTGACCTCCTAATTTTGTATATTTGCCCTAAATTTTTTTAGTCTTCATCATGATGTGGTCAATATTCAAGGCTCATTTATCTTTCCAATTTGGTATGTATGCACTCAGAATCAGCGTAAAGGATCCATTTTTGAATAAACTTTAAATTGACAGTCAATATTCTTAAAAATCTCCCTTTGCCAAACTACTTCCCATGTGACCAAAGATAATTTTGGCAGATTTTGAATTAAGAAAGAACAATCTCCTATAGTGTTCTTTCTTATCAATGGTATACCAATAACTCATAGTCACAGAATAAATTTTGCAACTGTGTGTCATATGTCACACCTATTACAGATTAGTTAAAATATATTTTTATCTGTGTCTAATAAATCTGTGTTGTGCTTAGAGGACAACAGGACCAAAAGCAGATTTTGATGTCCTCAATGTGTCACAATTTTATGTGCAATAGCTGCTTTACTGTAAAACAAATGTTAAATAATTTTTAAAACTAGAACCAAATGTCTGTTAACCTCAGTATAAGCCATATGGCATATGGAAACCAAGCTTTCAAAACCTGCTTTTAAAGGGGGCCAATTGGTCATCCTTCAGGTCCTAAGTGAGGGCATGCCACAGGCTCCAGGCCACAGAGGCAAAGACATGGACCCCGTCCCAACTGCCCCTGCAAACCCCAAGCATCACCAGACCTCTTCTCATGGACTTGAGAGGGTGGGTTGGTACCTAGAGAACCAGAAGCTCAGAAAGGTAGGTTGTAATGCCAAGAACAGCAGAGCCTCTTATCTTGAGATATAATGTATATTCACTGCATTTAACTTATGTGGGAAAGGAAGGGAAGTATAGACAGATACCCACTGAAGAGAATTGTCACCAAATGGAAATAGAAAACCTGTAGCCTCTGGAACTGCTGGTCAGAATTCAGGCACAGGGTTGACTGTGACCTTTCTTCTGTTGAGAGTTGCAAGCAGCTTACTCTGGGCAGTCTTACAAATTAAATAGTAGATTTCCTCCCTGCAAGCTTTGTGAGTATTAAGATGCCCTAAAGTTTGTCTTCCCCACTTCATCTCCCCCCGTTTCCTCCCAAAATAACTATTTTGAGTTGCCTTCCTCTTCAAAAAATCCCTAAGTTTCAGAGTAGAAGTTGACTGGATAAAGTTTATGCAGAGTTCTCAGGATCTCCTGAGTAACAGGTAAAATAGATATATATGGGATAAAATTTATACCCAAGCCTCAAGTAGAGAAATATAATATAGTTATAGAAAGTGGGGATCCGGTTTGTAGCTAAGCAGGCACAGAAGAACGTTCTCAAAGCCCTTCTGGGGAGTGCTGCCTTCTCTTTCAGGTGGTTTGGTACCAGGTGGGAGGGTATTGGTTAGAGCACTAGGAGAGAACTGGGCATGGGTCCACTAAATTTCTCCTTATGTGGACCTTTCTTTGCCTACCCTGCCCTATCTCAGGAGAAGAAGAAGACCTCGAAGCTGACACCTCAGCGGGGCTTTAGTGAAAATGACGATGATGATGATGACTCATCTGAAACTGATTCTGATGAAGATGATGATGATGAAGAGCACGGGGCCCCTCTGGAAGGGTGAGGAAAGCCCCCTAGCCTAGGACACCCAAGCCAGGGAGGAAAACACCTCCTTCAAAACACTAGACCGGAGGGCATCAGTTAGAAGTGAAATTCCAACATCTCTTTTGATGTCTCAGAAACCCAACATAATGAGTTTTCATTCTTTTCTGGCTCCACAGCCTGGCTGCGTCCTGTGATGTCACTTGCACCATCTGAAACATTTGTGGGCTCAGGGATTTCATGAGGATTTGCTGAGCAAATCTAAAAGACGGTCCCTTACTTCAAGGAGTTCACATTCTGGGAAAGAGAAAAATAAATTTATATACATACCAAAGCATTTCTGTTTAGCAAGGAAAACATTCATGCACGGGAGCATTTCTGCTCCAGGCCCAGACCCTTTCTGGACAGGTGGAGAATAGGTGGTTCAGGAGCCCCACGTTGAGGCAGAATGTTCCTGGATGATACTTAAGTAAAAAATCTCACCCTGTTCCAGCCCTGGTGCTAGATTAGTCATGATCCCCCCTCCCCCACAGGTTTTAATCAAAGTGGATTCTAAGGCCCATCTATTTAAAATACAATTACTGGTTAATGAAATGCTGGTGGAGCCACTCAGAATTCTATCTTGCCATGAAAAAGTATGAGGCAGCACTGGTAAAGAGCAATCTCCAAGAGATATTGTTAAATTTTAAAAAGGTATAGAATTGTTTATGCTGTGCTACCATGTGTATAAAACAAATATTACATAGACTATGTCCAGGATACACTAGAAACTGATAATAGTGATTACTTTTGGGAGGGGAACTTGGTGGCAAGGCGACAGGGGTGGAAGGGAGACAAAACTTTTCACTGTACACATTTTGTACTTTTTATTTTGTATCATGTGCATGCATCATTTATTAAATAAAGTAGTTTAATAAAAATAAAAATAGTTACCTTTGGATTATCCACCTGCAGGTAGACCCTAAGTAAATTAGGCAAATGTTTAACCCCAGACTGACTTTTCATGCTTCCCAACTTACATTATGGTCATAGCCTGCTTCTGTAAGGTTATAATCTGGGGAAATGTAAACTTTAAGTCAGTAATCTATTTAATTATTTTGTTAAGCAACTCTCCCCACAAGAAGCTTATTAATAATTTTTCAAGTCTCATATACTTTGCCAATGTTTATTACGTTTCTTAATTATAATTAATTAATATGTGTTCTACTATTTTTTCAAGTATCAATACAAGTTTTTTTTTTTTTTTTTAAGATTTTATTTTTCTTTTTTCTCCCCAAAGCCCCCGGGTACATAGTTGCGCATTTTTAGTTGTGGGTCCTTCTAGTTGTGGCATGTGGGATGTCGCCTCAGCATGGCTTGATGAGTGGTGCCATGTCCGTGCCCAGGATCCGAACCAGTGAAACCCTGGGCTGCCGAAGCGGAGCATACAAACTTAACCACTTGGCCACAGGGCCGGCCCCAGTACAAGTATTTTTAAATAACTATGCAATATTCAACTGACATACCTAACCATCTCTCAGTTGTTGGATATTTTGTTTCTAATTTTTTACTGTTATAAATAACACTATGAGAAATATCTTTATAAAATTCCTTTTTTTCTTGGGGCAAACTATTTTCATGTCAAAAGTTAAAATCTCATTTCATCTTTTCTCTTCATCCCTTCCAAAAAAAGGGAAAACAACTTCTGCTACATTCCAAAGTTTTTGAAAATTATGTTTCAGATTTTCTGCAGCTCTGTTCTTCTTCATTGTTAGAGATACGTGACAGCTAATCATAATCGATTTTAGAGTTGTCTTTCAAACCACCCAGGAAAGGCAGGTGAGTGTGGCAGAAACTAGGTTCAGAGTCATGTGCCCTGTGATGAGAGTAACACAGACCGAACCAGGGCTCAGCCACTTCTGCTCTTCTCTGGCCACCTTGAACCATGTTTTCCCTTCCCCAGGGCCTATGATCCTGCAGATTATGAGCATTTGCCAGTTTCTGCTGAGATTAAGGAACTCTTCCAATATATCAGTAGGTGAGTACCAGGACCTCCCACCATAACCCCCAGCTCTGCCTTGCTCTTTCCTACCTCTAGTCTGAAGCAGGGCCGTTCTCCATCGATTTTTTTAGCCTGAATAGTAAAGTAAGTTTCTCTGTCTCCCCCTTCCCTTGGCAATGTCTTCTAGGTACACACCTCAGTTGATTGACCTGGACCACAAACTGAAACCTTTCATTCCTGATTTTATCCCAGCTGTTGGGGATATTGATGCATTCTTAAAGGTACAGTCAGAACATCCTAAGAATGACTCCTTGGGTGTTTTGTCTGACCTCTCTGTTACTCTAACAGTTCCACTAATATCCTCGACTCTCATTGTCTACCTTGATATATATTCTTCATTTCACTGGAGTTCTTAACCTTGTTCTCTACTCCAAAATATACTCATTGCTATTAGATAATACTTGATTATCTCATTATATGTTACAAATTTGTCATTTGTTTTCCACCTAATTATCCATGACTTCAGCTTTGTAGTTAAGGCCTTATAGCTCATGTATTTTTTTCTAGACAGTGTTTTAGTGTAGCATGATGTACAGGCATCCTCTTTAATACTAGTAATAATGATAAACCAAAAGAATTCTTTCTCTTCAGCTTATTGGAAGCAACAAGTATGGGCTTTTTGTGTCCTTACCATTTTTTTCTCTGCTTTCTTACCTTTCTCCTAACCAGGTCCCACGTCCTGACGGAAAGCCTGACAACCTTGGCCTGTTGGTGTTGGACGAGCCTTCTACAAAACAGTCGGACCCTACAGTGCTCTCCCTCTGGTTAACAGAGAATTCCAAACAGCACAACCTCACTGTAAGGCGCCAGCCTAGCACAGGCACGAGCTGGAGAGGGCTGAGAGCTGAGGCCTTGTTGGTTATTTGTGCAGTTGACTTACTACCTATCAAAAGGGGTGGCCATGGTTTCAGGCCAGCTCTGTTTTTTAAATAACATTTTTATTGGGGTATAATTTACTTATCATAAAATTTGCCCTTTTATATTGTACAATTCAGTGATTTTTAGTATATTCACAGAGTTGTACAGCCATCACCACTATCTAATTTAAGAACATTTTCATCATTCCGGAAAGAAACCCCATCCTCCTCTCATTCCCCCTGCTCCTAGCCCCTGGTTACTGCTTTGTTCCTTTTTCTTATGGCTGAATAATATTCCATAGTATGGACATACCACATTTTGTTTATCAATTCACTAGATGTTCCCACTTTTATTAATTATGCTGCTATGAGTATATACAAGTTTTTGCATATATTGTTATTTCTCTTGGATATATATGTAGGAGTGGGATTGCTAGACATATGGTAAATGTTTAACATTTTGAGGAACTGTCAAACTGTTTTCCAAAGTGCCTGAACCATTTTACAATCCCACCAGTAATGAATGAGAGTTCCAATTTCTCCACATCCTCACCAACACCTCACTTGTTACTGTCTGTCTTATTTATTCTAGCCATTCTAGTGGGTGTGAAATGGTATCTCATTCTGGTCAGTCCTATCCTAGTGACCTGCTGCCTTCCTATGGCTCTAGAAAATTTTATCAGGATTTTCTCTAATCTTCATTTGGCTGCTGTCAAGCTTCCCTTTTCATTAGCTGCCTTGTATATGAAATAGCAGCATGGATGAGCCACTCTGTAAAAACAAGAGAGCTACGTCACTGCCATCAGCCAGGCTTTCCCCTTATTTTTATAGCAACATATGAAAGTAAAGAGCCTGGAAGATGCAGAAAAGAATCCCAAAGCCATTGACACATGGATTGAGAGCATCTCTGAGTTACATCGTTCTAAGCCCCCTGCAACTGTGCACTATACCAGGTACAAAATACCACATTCTTCACCACAGTAACCCATGGTAACCGTTACCACCTGTGAACCCCTTGCTTCTGAGAAGAGGGCCCAAAGGCTGGGACGTATTTGGTCAACCTGAGGTCCTGTGGATCCTGGCAGCTACTCGCTGAGATTGCAGACATAAAGATTGTGATTTATCTGGTATAATTACTTAGCCAGCTCTTCCAGACCTTAGGCCCTACATTTGGTTCCTGAAATCCTAGTGTGCCAGACCGAGAATCTCCTTTCATCTTAGAATATTCTGATCCAGAAGTTGCTGATGTCATCAGTCCAAATTTCTTGTTCATGTTTACCTCTGTACTTTTAGGCCCATGCCTGATATTGACACGCTGATGCAGGAATGGTCCCCAGAGTTTGAAGAACTTTTGGGCAAGGTGAGTGGAAGGTAGCAGGAGCTAAGAAAGTGTGGCATTCACTCTAAGGCCCAGTGTTTTCTATCTTCCTATATTATTATTATCAACTTTTTAATTGAAGTATAATACACAATCAGAAGTATACACATAACATAAGTGTTGATTAATTTTCACTAACTGAACATCTTTGTGTAACCAACACATCAGATCAAAAGACAGAACATTCCTGGAAGCCCCCTCATGCTGCCACCTCCCAACGTAACCACTATTCTGATTTCTAACAGCTTAGATTAAGTTTGCCTATTCTGTACTTTATCTAAATCTAGTCAAACTCTTTTGTGTCTTACTTCTTTTGCTCTTCTATATTGTTCATCCATATAGAGATTCATCCATATTGTTTTTTTATAAAGATTGGCACCTGAGCTAACATCTATCGCCAATCTTTTTTTTAACTTTTCTTCTTCTTCTCCCCAAAGGCCCCCAACACATAGTTGTATATTCCAGTTGTAGGTCCTTCCAGTTGTACCATGTGGGACACTGCCTCAGCATGGCTTGATGAGCAGTGCCATGTCTGCACGTAGGATCTGAACTGGTAAACCCTGGGCTGCCGAAGCAGAGCCCACGAACTTAACCATATGGATAGCCGGCACCCATCCGTATGTTTTCATACATTGTGGTTCTATGTTTGTTCTCATTATTGTATGCTACTCCACTATTTGAATATATGACAATTTGTCCATTCTATGATAGTTATTTGGGTAGTTTACAGTTTTGGGTTATTACAAATTACCATGTAATATTACTATAATGTTACTGTAAACATCCTAACATACCTTTTGGTGAACATATGTACCTCTTGTATTACTGCTTTAGACTCCACCTTCTGCACAGAGGTATTTATGCTCTTCTACGAAGCTAATGTTCAATTCATAGTTACCTCAAATTTTTAAAAATACCCAGAAATAAATTTAATAAGAAATTGCAGGGGCCGACCCGGTGGTGCAGTGGTTAAGTGCTCACATTCCACGTCAGCAGCCCGGGGTTCGCTGGTTTGGATCCTGGGTGTGGATATGACACTGCTTGGTACGCCATGCTGTGGTAGGCGTCCCACATAGAAAGTAGAAGAAGATGGGCATGGATGTTAGCTCAGGGCCAGTCTTCCTCAGCAAAAAGAGGAAGATTGGCAGCAGTTAGCTCAGGGCTAATCTTCTTAAAAAAAAAAAAAAGAAATTGCTAGGGGCTGGCTCGGTGGTGTAACGGTTAAGTTTGTGCGCTATGCTTCAGTGGCCCAGGGTTCACAGGTTCAGGTCTTGGGTGTGGACCTACACACTGCTCATCAAGCCATGCTGTGGCAGCGTCCCACCTACAAAGTAGAGGAGGACTGGTAAGGATGTTAGCTCAGGGCCAATCTTCCTCACCCCCCCCTTCCAAAAAAAAGAGAAAGAAAGAAATTGGTAAGACATTTTTTTTGGTGAGACCCATTTTAAATTTTTTTTATTTATTTATTTATTTTTTTTTTTTTGAGGAAGATTAGCCCTGAGCTAACTACTGCCAATCCTCCTCTTTTTGCTGAGGAAGACTGGCCCTGAGCTAACATCCATGCCCATCTTCCTCTACTTTATATGTGAGATGCCTGCCACAGCATGGCTTTTGCCAAGTAGTGCCATGTCCGTACCCAGGATCCGAACCCGTGAACCCCAGGCCGCCGAGAAGCGGAATGTGCGAACTTAACCGCTGTGCCACTGGGCTGGCCCCTATTTTTTTAATTTTATTGAGGTCATAATAGTTTATAACATTGTGAAATTTCAGTTGTACATTATTATTTGGTGAGACCTTTTTTGAAAACAAATTATAAAACTTTAATGAAGGGCATGACACAAGATCTGAATGAATGAGAAGTCAAGCCCTGTCCCTAGATGGGAGGAGTCAATCTCTTGGCACTGTCAGTCCTTCCCAGTGGCTTACTATGTAAGTGTAATGCTGTTTTAATTAGGATTGTAACTGCATTTTTTGGAAATTGAAAATTTGATAATAAAGTTTATCTGAGAGAATAATTTTTAAGACTAATCATGAAAATTTTAGGAAAAAAAAATAGAGGATTTGCCCTATCAGACATTAAAAACACATTATAAAGCTGTAGTAAATAAAACAATAACATACTGGCATAGGAATAGAAATAGATCAGCAGCACATAATAATCCAGAAACACTTGTGTATATGTGAGACTTTGATGTATAAGAAAGATAGTATTTTAGGGGCGGGCCCTGTGGACGAGTGGTTAAGTTCGTGCGCTCAGCTTCGGTGGCCCAGGTTTCACAGGTTCAGATCCTGGGCGCGGACATGACACCGCTTGTCAGGCCACGCTGAGGTGGCGTCCCACATACCATAACTAGAAGGACCCACAACTAAAATATGCAACTATGTACTGGGGGGATTTGGAGAGAAAAAGCAGAAAAAAAGAAAAGAAAATTGGCAAGAGTTGTTAGCTCAGGTGCCAATCTTTAAGAAAAAAGAAAAGGAAAGATAGTATTTTAAATGATTGGAGATAGAATGGGTTGTGATGAGATGATGACTAGCCATTTGAAAAAAATTCAATTAGGGCTGTGCCTCAACCATATGCAAACATGAATTCCAAATGAATTAAACATTTAATATAAAGATAAAGGTACACAAAGACTTTTTAAAAAATAGGAGAAATATTTAGTACTGTTAGGTTAGTTGTTTCCTAGCATAATAAAAAATTTAAAAGTCATAATGGGGAAAATGTGAAAGTTTAGATTCATAGAAATAGAAAGTTCTAAGTACCAACAATTACCATAAACAAAAGAGTGAGGGGCCAAGAAAAATTACTTAAATATATATACATGATAACATTACTATCCAAGCAAAGAGCTCTTACATATCAAGAAAAGAAAACTGAGCAAAGATGCTTAACAGCTCCTTCCTGGGCGTCATATTTAAAATTGCTACACCAGCTCCTCCGTGTTCCCCACCCCTTCCCTGCTTTTTCTCCATAATACTGACCTTCTAACATACTGGATACCTTACTTATTTTGTTTTCTGTTTTTCCCTACTAAAGTATAAGCTTCATGAAGAGAGGATTTTTTGTACATGTTTATCAAAGAATTGTAAAAGCAAAGAATTTTAAAACAATCTCTTTCCTGACAGCATTTTAAAGCTGTAGGTGAGGAGCAATATCTGGTTGCGGAGTTGAATAGATAGATTGCAGTGCATCCATTCAGTGAAATCCTTATACGATGGGATATCATTTGGCCTTATATTGCTCTGATGCAGAGAAATATCAGTGACTTGTTCTCTCTTTTTTTTAAGATTTTATTTTTCCTTTTTCTCCCTAAAGCCCCCCGGTACATAGTTGTGTATATTTTTAGTTGTGGATCCTCCTAGTTGTGGCATGTGGGATGCCGCCTCAGCATGGCTTGGATCTGAACCGGCAAAACCCTGGGCTGCCTAAGTGGAGCCTGCGAACTGAACCACTTGGCCATGGGGCCGGCCCCACAATGACTTGTGAAAAAAAAATTACAAAACTATATACATTCTGATTTTTGTAAAAAGAGAACAAAATTTTTTTAAGAAGCCAATGGTTTTTAAATTTACAGTATGACTTGTTTAGATCCAGAGCCTGTCACCTGAGATGTCATGTCCATTTTTTCTGCTCCTTTGGTGTCCTAGGACCATTAAACATCATAACACCAAGTAACTATAAATACTTGGCCATAACCTGGGACCAGTTTCTTCTTCACAAAAATACACAGGAAGACAGCATAGCAGTATATTTTACTTAAAAAGTCTTTTGGTCCCGTTACAGCATCTGCTACTTTTGTGGTTAATGAGTATGATCAATTCCATTTTACTGATGAGAATTAAAAAAAGCATGTTGTATTGTTTGCTCAGGCTTCCATAACAAAGTACCACAGACTGAGTGGCTCAGACAACAGACATGTATTTCTCACAGTTCTGGAGACTGGAAGCCTGAGATCAAGTTGTCAGCAGAGTTAATTTCATCCAAGCCCTTTCTCCTTGGCCATCTTGTCCCTGTGTCTTCATATGGTCTTCCCTCCGTATGTGTCTGTGTCCTGATTTCCTCCTCTTATAAGGATACCAGTCATACCCGATTAGGGTTCACCCTGATGACCTCATGTTAACTTAAGTATCTCTTTTAAAACTGTATCTCCAAATACAAGTCACGTTCTGAGGTACTAGGGGTTAGGACTTCCAAAAGGAATTTTGGAGGAACACAGTTCAGCCCGTAACACGCCTTAAGCTAGGAGCTCTTTTCCTTCAGAGAGAGAATGGTGCTGGACCACTGAAAGTTCAGCCTTTTGACTTGGGTCCATCCTGTGCTCCTCCTAGGTGAGCCTGCCCACGGCAGAGATTGACTGCAGTCTGGCAGAGTACATTGACATGATCTGTGGTGAGCTCTTCTGTCCCTTCCACGTTCCTGTTTCTGGGTAAACACATTGTGGGCTTTGGAAAAGGCTTGTTTACTCTGCAAAGATAGCATCTTGAGTTATAGCCTTCACTGTGTTATTTGGCAGCACTTAAGTGTGGTATTTGGGCTTATGTGTCTACCTGCTGGGTGTTTAACCGCCACAAAGTCATAGCAACACATCCCATCTGGGAGGGGATTGGCTATCCTGAACAGAAATGTCCCATAATTCCGTTTTGTTTGGTTCTGCTCATGGGAGTTCTTGATTTCAGCCATCCTAGACATCCCCATCTACAAGAGCCGGATTCAGTCCCTCCACCTACTCTTCTCCCTCTACTCGGAATTCAAGAACTCACAGGTGAGCTAGCCTGAGAGGCTGACTTAAGCTGTAATGAGGCTCACTGCAGTGTCCACTGTCCTAAGTCTGCTGTGATCGTGTCCTGTGACAGTGGAGGAGGTCTCTGCTGGAGTTACCGTTACCCTTCCCCATAATGAGGAGAGCAGCAAGGCAGGCAGCGGTGGGCTTTTAAAGGAAGGGGAAGTAAGAGATGTGGGCCTTAGACGAGGCTAGGTAAGGATCTACAGAGGACACTTGTTCGTACAGGAGAACCAAGTGGCCTAATGAATGAAGCAGGAAGGAAGGAAAAAAGGGGTTCATTTTTTAAGGAGGTGGGACAAACTTCTAGCTGTTTTTCCAAGACAACACCAAGGAATTATTTTGGAAGTAGTGTTGGGAGAAAATTGGAGCTTAAAGTGTTGTAAAGAGGTTAATTCCTGCTAAAATGTAGCTACCAGCATATCCCAAATACTCCATGTTTCCTCTCCTCTTTCCTCACAGCATTTTAAAGCTCTCGCTGAAGGCAAGAAAGCGTTCACTCCTCCATCCAACGCCACCTCCCAAGCTGGAGACGCAGAGACATTAGCCTTCAGCTGAGACACCTCCCAGGTCCTTCTGTTTCAAGGATGAGCTGGCTCCTCTACCCCAGCTAAGGAGAGGTTGTTGTCAGCCACCTGGTGTCCTCGCCAGTGTCACAGCTTGTCTCGGACAGTCCTACCGCGCTGTCAGAAAGCACCCCACATGTTCGCTAAATGGCTTCTGCCTCAGATTTTCTTCCCAGGGGGATTACGCATCTCCACTGCTATGGGGTTTTGAGTTAGAAGAATTGGAATTTCCAGGATCCCAGGATGCTCGAGTTGGGAGGAAAGCTTAAAGGATGTTCTTTTTGAGATAGTGACGGAATTATTTTCTTTCATTCTTAAAGTTAGTTGGCAAAGATTTTACAAATAAAATGCTCTATCTTTCAGGTTATCCTGCTGTTTTATAATATGAAAGAGGAAAGGCAGACTGAGCATAAGGCAGAGACAAGGAACTTGGCCTTGTAATAGGCATTAAGTGAGTAGCAGTTTAAGCAAAACAACTTTGTGAAATAAAGTCAAACCCCAGTCCTTCAAGGCTGGCAGTAGAGGGGAATCATTTTTATCCTGGAACTTAATTTCTCTAGGGGTCTCTCCCCAGTTAATGCGGCCCGCCTCACAGGCTCCTTGCCTGTCTAGCTCCAGACCTGTCTGGGTGTGGTCTCAGGGAGCCTAGCTGTGGCGGGAATCAGGTGAGAGGGGAGTGTGCCTTGGATTAGGGAGGTAGTGGTGGTGGTAGTAGAGAGGGAAAGATTCAGGAAATATTTTGGAGGTTTTATCAGCCAAGCTCCAGTCAGGAGGTCAGAAACCATGCTAGTTATTTCTAACACAGGGTGTTAAATATGGGAAATTGGTTACAAAAATGTTGGAAGGGCTGAAGGTGCAAAAAGGAGAATGGAGCATGTGAAGGAATGAAGGTTAAAGGGCTGGTATCCACTGTGGGTGCTGGAAGCAGAAGAGGTGCTGCTGTGGTCTTGAAGGGCTGAGGAGGTGCCACCCTCAGGCACTGCTGAAGTCCGCAGACCCTCACCCCGTTACTGCAGCAGCTGTGAGCAATGCCTGCTGCTTCCTTTCTCCCACCTTCTCAAATCCTGCCAGTGCCTCCCACTGGCAAAAATTGGCAAAAATTAACAGCTGGCAAGGGAATCTGGAAAGTCCAGCAGTATAAAGGAAAGTATAGAAGGGAGGGTGTGGAGCTGAGAGACAACAGGTAAATAACCAGGAGAGAGGTAGAACCAACAGAACTTGGTGATCGACTGGACGTGGGGGATGGAAGAAGTCAAGGATGATGCCCAGGTTTTTTGGCTTGAGCAACTGAATGGATAATGGAGCCAGCTAGTGATATGGGGGAAAGTGGGGCAAGAATTGCTTGGAGGGGGAGATTGCATTAAAATGCTACAGCGTCAGCCCAGTATACACACAACACGTACACAGGAGGGGAACTGTTTCTTACAGACTCAACCCAACCATGATGTTCACATCGTGCTTGAATTTGAGGAGCAGGAACATTTGGGCTCGGGCCTTGCTTTGACACCATATTGGGTGGCTCTGCTCTCAAATGGATACCATAGTGCTAACATTTAACTCAGGGGAAAGAGAGAGGCAAAATGTGATAGCAACTCAAATACGCCATTAGGTTTTCAGGGAACCATCAGATTGCCTTCTTTAACTAGAGCTGAGACTGAACACTAATAAACACAGTTGATTCATGTCATACATAGTAGTTACGTTCTATCATGTCACCACAAACACTGAGTGAGCGGATACTCCTAGGGAAAATACTCCTAGCTCAACCATTGCTCCTAGGGAAAATACAAGGTTGGGCTCCTTTGTGCCCCTGGTCATAACATTCTCGTCAGGCAACCAGGATTCATTGAACTCACAGCCACCAGCACTAGAAATCATGCCGTAGGAAGCTTATCTAACACGCTTTCTCCATGGGGCACATCGCAGACTTACTACACTCAGGAATCCTAGACGGCACTTCAGCACTACAATTGGGCCATTTTAAACAGCAAAATCACCACCAACAAGCAAAGGATGTGGCACTAAATAGACCGTGAAAAGGACACTTGTTTAAAGCATGAAGGCTGAAGCCAGAAGGCAGAACGATGCCTCATTCAGCTTCAGCTGGAAGACAGGCATCGCGCGACTCACGTTTTTCACTGTTTTGAGCATGTCTGCAAATGATCGTAGAAACACTGCAAATATTGATTTGGGAATTACAAATAAATTATAGCAAGTACGTGAATTCACAAAGGCGGCATCTACAAATAATGAGGATCAGCTGTACTTCCTGCGTCAGTTACTGGTTCACGCGTGGGCCTTGTAAGCTTATCTCCCTACGCCAGCACATCCACCATCACTCTCCCGTGATCACCTTCAGATACTGTTTTCATCATGGGCTCCTCTCTCCTCTTCAACAATCTGTAGTTACTCCCTTTTGGCTACTTGCTCTGTGGCCCTGGGCAAAACCAGATTAACTAAATCAGATTGCCTTAGTTAATGTAGCTGTGAAACAGTTACAATAAGCACTAACTTAACTCTTAGTCTTGTCCTGTGGGTAAAAATTTGTGAAAAGATTAAGTGCCACAAAATGTAAGCTATAATAATTATGTTACTAAGTATAAATTTTCAACTTGGCCTTTAGACTTTCCGTTTGGCTGCTCTCTTGCTACCCCGAGATCCTCCTTTTCCCTAAGTCCCCAAGGCGAACTGCAAAGCCAATCTGCTTGCCATGCTCCACGCGTGACTCCTGAGTTCCCTCTTCTAACTAAACCTTTATGCGGGTTTTTTCCTTGCTTGAAGTGTCCCTCACCTCCGCTGATCCTAGGCTCTCAGCACTTCCAGACAGACAAAATGGAATGCAAGTATTTACGTCTTCATTGCCTCCTTTAACCTTACTAAAATGACAGTATAGGATTAAAAAGAGAAAAGATAGAAACCAGCAAAGACAGGTAACAGAAAAGAAAGTGACAGTAGACTAAATAGCAACACAGTTGTGGAAGATGGACAAGTAACTGATTTAGTCGGGGGAGGGGAAGAAAACCTGAAATCTGACTGCCTGTGGAAGAGAGGGACAGAGAAACCGATAAAAAGTAAGTCGTCTGACACTGCAGAACCCTGGAGAGGATCAGCGATTGAAAGTGTCAGAGCCTTCTGATGGCAGGTGTGCAGGGTGAAGCTGAAAACAGGAGGATTGGTTGAAGGTTGGTACAAAGATTAGATCCCCAGAACCTTCGCCATCTGTGCTGCCCACCTCCTTACCCCAGCAGAAGACTGTCACTTTTGAACCAAGGAAGCTTTGGACATGAGCATACCAAGCAATTATGAGGACAGGAATAAGGGGCCATACTTAAAGTAAGAGGATAAAATAGAGGAATGAGCAATGAGAGCTTCAGCCGCCTTCCAGGCTTCTATCTTCCAAGCAGAACATTGGAAGAGTCTGCTCCGGGGAGACGCACAGCCAGAGAGAAAAGCCCTACAGATGCTGACAGGGAGGCTTTAAACAAATGGACAGGTCCCTGCCTACCCATCGGCTTCCGGTCAGCTGTCTGGTATCTCATTCGTGTGTGTGTGTGTGTGTGTGTGTGTGTGTGCACGCATGTCTGCAACTCTCATTCTTAAATATGAATGTACAGAGGTCATCAGATATTTGAAGAAAGCCGGAAAAATAGAGACTAAAACCAACAGAACAAAGGAAATTAAAGAAACAAAGCAGGCAAGATAAGAAAACAATTTTTTAACTATGGTATTCATAGAGCAGGAGTTCTAAAGCTCGGTTGCACGTTAGAATCAACTGGAGACCTTTTAAAGAAAAGTTTTCTCTCCTAAACAATACACCAGGCTAACTAAATCACAATCTCTGAAGGTAGGATACAGGAATCCATATGTTTTTAAGCTCCTCAGATTATTTCAATATGCAGATAAATTTGAGAACCGCTGTTAGAGAGCGATGAGAAGATTCCACATCCATGAAATAAGAATAGGAGACTTACAAAAAGAACACACAATACAGCAAGAAGATAGAATGATTATAAACATTTACACACTGAATAACAGACCCTCAGAATACAGAACGTTGACAGAATTGAAGGGAAAAACAGTTCTAGAAGAAAAGCTGGACACTTCAATACCCCACTCTCAACAATGGACAGAACAACCAGACAGAAGATAAGTAAGGAAATCGAGGACTTGAACAGCACAATAAACCAACTAGTTCTAACAGACATGAACAGAACACTCTGTCCAACCACAACAGCATTCATACTCGTCTCAAGTGCACATAGGGCATCCTCCACGATAGAACATACGTGAGGTCACAAATTAAGTCTCAATAGATTTAAAAAGATATCATACAAAGTATTTTCTCAGACCACAACAGAATGAAGTTAGAAATCAATACCAGAAGGAAAACTGAAACATCCATAAACATGTGGAAGTTAAACAATACACTCTTAACTAATGGGTCACAGAAGAAATCACAAGGGAAATTAGCAGATATTTGGAGATAAAATGAAAACACAGCATACCAAAACTTATGGGATGCAGCAAGCTGATGCTCAGAGGGAAATTTATAGCTGTAAATGCTTACATTAAAAAAGAAGCAAGATCTCAAGTAAACAATCTAACTTTACAACCTGAGGAACTAGAAAAAGAACAAACTGAACCCAAAGCTAACCAAAGGAAGGAAATGATAAAGATTAGAACAGAGATAAATGAAATAGAAAATAGAAAAAAATAGAAAAAAAAATAGAGAAAATCAGCAAAATCAAAAGTTGGTTCTTTGAAAAGATTAGCAAAATTGAAAAGCCTTTAGCCAAATTGTCTAAGAAAAAAAGAGAAAAGAATCAAATAATGAAAATCAGAAATGAAAGTGAGGACATTACCACCAATTCTACAGAAATAAAAAGGATTAGAGAGTACTGTGAACACTTGTATGCCAACAAATTAAATAACCTAGATGAAATGGACAAATTCCTAGAAACACAAAATCTACCAAGACTTAAAGTAGTGGAAAATTTGAAATCCCTATAACTAGCAATGAGATTGAATCAGTAATCAAAATTTAAAAATCCAAATAAAAAATCATGTATATTTTACATAACATGAAATTTACCAGTTTTAAGTGTATAATTCAATGCCTTTAAGTACATTCACATTGTTGTGCAACCATCACTACTATCCAGCCTCAGAACTTTTGCATCATCCAAATTGAGACTCTGTACCCATTAAACAGTAACCCCCGCTCCAGCTCTCCCCAGGCCCCCAGGAACTTCTATTTTCTGTTTCCATGAATTTGCCTATTCTAGGTAACACATAAGTGCAATCATAAAAAATTTATTCTTTTGTATCTGGTTTATTTCATTTAGCATAATGCTTTTAAGGTTCATC